ATTAAAAGGGTCATTCCCGGGACAGAGGTTGGTCAGGTTCCTAAGCCGGGACCCAGTGGAGCAATGGTTGCAAGAAGCTCAGGACAAGGAAACAGGGGACTTGACAACTTGAAAAGCAGGCAGCTGGACCATAATCCTGTACCGTCCCTTTGCGGAAATGATCATGACTGCAGAGGTTGTTTTTTTTGTGTCTTCTCCTTTTTTCTGGGGCATGGGGTGACTGCTTGGGTTGAATACGGATAGGGTTGGGAGCTCTGCGGCAATGTATCATAGTTTTTGTGGGGTAATGGTGGGAGTGTCTATATGGGATATCTATGTGCTCGGGCAACGTATCGTAGTTTTTGTGGGATAATGGGAGCATACGCCTACGATGTCAGTCTGAGAGGACTACCAATCTCATGGGGTTGAGCAAGGGTTCTGGGGAGTAAAGCCTACAAATTCGCAAGGGGGGTGGGAGGGAATGTGTGTATATGGAGGATGCTGTGTTTTTTTATTATATCTGCACAGGACCAGGGAAAAAGAAAGCAACAAGAAAAACAATTCGGGAACGAGAACGACAACAATTTCATCAACAGGCTCAGCGGGGAACGAGGGACAAGACCAACGGTGGAACCAAGTGCCAAAAAGAGAAAGTTGTATGTAGGGTTTAACTTCAACTTGGTTGTAGGCAGGGGAGGAAGAAAACAGGGAACCAGGGGGCCCTCACCTCTTAGAGAAGGGGAAGGGATATATGTCCCATCTGGGAGTGAAAGCGAGCGGAGAATACGAGCCCAGGAAAAAAACAGGAACCGGACAACGACGAGAGTCAGGGCCCTATCAGGGAGGGCGCCGAAAGTGATGAACAACATCTATGGCATGATGACGTATGTGATGAAAGGCCTTCCCCCATGAGCCAGAGGAACGTGAGGAAGAGTTTAGCCCCATTCGAGATAGCAGCAGCGATAAAAATGGGGAAGAACCTAACGAAGTCATAGATATCAGTAGTGGAGAGGAGACCGAAGAAGTCACAAAACCAATGGAAGAAGTGCGGGCGAGGGATGAGGATCCAGAGGATGAGAATGACAAATGGATACGAGAATTTGGGCCAACCTGTAACCACTGGTTCGACTAGTGGACTAGTATCATGCGGCACGACTGGGCATTGAAAGCACAGGAAAAGTTGAGCAGGGGGGAAAGAGATAACACCAACAACCTTCCTCACGGAAGGGGCGCTCGTCAACTTACAAAGGACGAAGAGGAGGATTCAGAGGGAATTGGATGCCCGGGCAAGGCAGGCCCAACACAAGGCGACTGAGCAACAAGGGGGCAATGGACGTAAAAGGGAGTAGCCATAGCAAAGCAAAAAAAAGGGGGAAGGGATACCCGGGACAGGCAAGACTGTGATGTTGATTTTTGCATTTGAATTCCTAGAAATAGAGCGCAACGGGACGACTTTTTGGTCTAGAAATGGCTAAGGATTGGGTAGCTAGGGGTACTTTGTATGAGTACTTGCTTCTTCAGAAGAACTTGAGGATCGATGAGCTTGAGACTAGAACTGTGAAAGACCGACTTTGTTCAGGGAAAGCAAAAGGAAAAGGGGTACTTAGATGGGACAAGACTGTGACGTTGTTCTTACAATTTGAATTCCTCGAAGCAAACCGCAACATGACTGCTCGTTGAACTGGAAAGCATTGAGTAACTAAGACCACTTCGCATAAGTACTTGCTCCTTTCGAAAGTGAGATTGAGATAAGACCTGTGAATGGGTGACGCTGACTTGGGAAAACAAAAGGGGAAGGGATTGTCAAGATTGAGGAAAGTTATGGCAAAAATATTTTCTAAAATGTGCGATTAACCCTTGGTCAGACGAGTTATGGCATGAGTTTATGAGAGAGGTTAGGGAACCTATGGGTAAAGAGGAATGAAGAATTTTCTTCCCTAGGAGCCTAATCCAACCGGTCACAAACAAGTCCAGAACAGCAAGAGGCATGAGAGCTCAGGAAGAGAGAAAACAGTGATGGTGCACACTCCCCTCGCTTTGGTTGAACGACTGGGTGGGTTAGTGCTGCTCGGGGCTGCGAGCCTCAACTTCAGCACTAGACGCTAAGTCGGATGTATGCATGGATAAGTGAATGTTGTTGACAAAGGACAAAGGAAAAAGCATGCATAAAAACCGAAGAAGATAGCCGCCTTCTAACCCCCGAGACAGAGATGGGATCCATGTCCTCGAGGCCCACCCCCTCGAGCGCTAACACTGAAATGGATAAGGACGACCTTGAGAGGGCCGGTTGGAATGGAAAGGCATGACCCTAACCAGGCTGTTCGACTTGAGAATGGAAAGGAATGGCCCTAACCAGGTTGTTCGACTTGAGAATGGAAAGGAATAGTCCTAACCAAGCTGTTCGACTTGAGAATGGAAAGAACGACCCTAACCAGGTTGTTCGGAAATGGCCCCTGATAAGGGTCATTTCTTTTGAAATAGGCACTGGGGTCCCCCGCAGGATTGATTGAGAGATGTTGACTGAGAAAGAGTTGGAATGAGCACTGTGAGATTCAAAAGTCTGGTGGGTCGGTCGCTGAAATAGCCATGAGAATGGATGAAAGAGAATGATGCCTTGGAAAGAGAAGGGCAGGATAAAGGAGGCCGGGCCTCAAGGTGAGAAGGGCATAGACCGTTGGGACGGTCATAAGGGTGGAATGTTGCAAATGTGGAAGTTGAGGATTGGAGGTGGGCCGACGGGTCGGCATTGGAAAATAGCTACTGAAGAAGCGACGACCGGATCGGTCACGAGGGGTGGCCTTATTGAAGAGAGGCTGTCGGACCAGCCATGAGAAGGAGCCATGAGAAAAAGCTAGAAACAGCATTGGATTGAGTGATGAGAATTGGATATTGCATTGCATAAGTCAGGGGACCCTAGGCAATTTTGAAGGAAGGTCGTCGAGACGACCATGGAAATGGCATTGAGAAATATTTTTCCTTTTCTCTAGTCTCTGGCCTCATCAGGAGGGGGATATCGGTACCCGCACTGCGACCCCAAGACCTCTATCCTTCTAAGGAAAAAGTCTCAGTGCGGCCTGTTCCTCTTAAAAGGGAATGAGGGTTAAAGGATCAAGGCACTTGTCCCTTAGATCGGTGTTGGCCGTACAAAACTAACTCCGACAATGAGCTCTAGTCGGGGAGTTCAACTTGCGCCTCATGCTGAGAGCCTAAACGTCAAAGGGTGAGAGAACCAAATGGGCGAGAGAGTCATTTTTATTCTAGTCTCTTTCACTCTCTCCAACCACACGCCATACCATAGAGGGGTGGCATGGCCGTTTGGGTCGGACCTCGGCTGCCTGCACTAAGTTGGGCGGCACTGTCCAAGGGGAGGGGCCGGGCGAGGTACCGGGTGGAGCCCGCCACCACCGTGAGGCATTGACACCGCCTCGCCGGAACATTACAACCGTTTCGGGACTAACCGCGAGGTCTTTGTAACTGCACTCGCGAACTAATAGAGAGCTCAAACTCTCCTGAAAGAAAGAGGCCGGATCCAGAAAACTTACCACTCGGGAGGAACGATTCGCGAGGGAAGCTCTTATGGCAAGACGGGGCCCTGGGAGGCTTGGACTGGACCTACCTGCCAGATGTGAGGAGGAACCTCAGTAATGGTGCTCGTCTCGTAATAGCAAAAGGTCGGACTGAGTAGAAGGATGAGGCGCCACCCGCTGGGGAAGAACTGATCACTCTTCCTTCTTTAAGCGGATGGGCTTGCTTCCTTGACTGCAGTCGGCGGGCCAAAGGTCTGCGTACCTCCGAGTGAGAACCAGTCGTGCGATGGGGACATCTCATTTTGAGTGGGGGGAAGGTGAGCCATCTACCTATGAACCAGTGTGAAGCTGAAAATGTTTCTTTTGCTAAAAGGACAGCCAAAAATGGAAATTGGAAATGCTCCTAAAAAGAAAGGGGCTTCTGAGAATGGACTTTGAGATGGATATCGACTGAGAAAGCAGCCAAGATGGACTGAGAATGTGATTGGCATGAAACGTTGTCGGGTTATGGCTGAGGTAGCAAATGAGAAAGGACCCGAAACGTTTCAAGACATGGTTGAGACAAGCAAGGGAATGGGTTGAGAATGAACCTGAAAGTAGTTTTTGACTGGGAAAGCAATTGAGCTGGACCGGGAATGTGCTTTGGCGTGAAACGTTTTTTCAGGATTATGGCCGAAGAAGCAAATGAGAAAGGACCCGGAACGTTTCAAGATATGGCTAAGGCAGCAAGAGAATGGGATTGGATATGGGCCAAGAAATGGGGAGGGAAATGGACCATGAATAGACCTGTGAATTTCCCTCTCTTCCCCTAACTGCCACACCTTCTCGCCTCTCGTCCATTCCTTCCTCATTCCTGCCAATCCTCGACTTCTTCCTCCGCCCCTTTAGTCTCGCGTGTTAAAGCCGGGGTGCCACGCCCTAGGGCGTGGCGAAGTATACCACGTGGAGACTTTTTGTTCTCCCTTTCACTATGTTACCATTAGAACCGAGTTTGAACGTGGTGTGCGATGGCGCGAACGTGTGAAAGCGCTGGCTTGTAGGCGCGCGGAGCGGTTTCCCGTGGTTTCTCTCCGGAGCGAGCTGTGAGGGCTAACGCACATTGGCCTGGCACTTACCGGGACGGCGCTGGCTCGAAAAAAAACGGTACCCTTCCTTCTTTTTGACTCAACTCGGCTCACTCGTAAAATTTTCATTTTTTTCCAGTCTTGATTTTATGGCATGCTTTTGCAGCTTAATTGTTTCTTCCTTCTCTTCTAGTTTAGCTTTGCCCTCCGATCAATGATGTCATCAAAACCGTGACATGCACACTTCAGATATCCTCTCAACCTTTTCCTGTTCAGAAAAGTGTGGAAGTTCCATGTTCTGCATTCCCAGGTGGTTTTTCCTGGTATTTACATGGTTTGAGAACTTTTGACTGCTGGGAAACTGTGTTTGGGGGAAGAAGGAGCTGACTTGGTGGTGCATGCTGGATCCTGTGCTTGTTGGCTGTGATAGTCTGCCTTCAAAGATGACAGAGAAGCAGAAGGCGTCCATAGTGGAGAGAACATTAAGATCACTAGGGCTGTCTGCAATACGACATGCAGAGGTTGGCTCTGTTGAGAGGAGAGGGATATCTGGGGGGCAGCGTAAGCGAGTGAATGTTGGTGTGGAGATGGTGATGGAGCCTTCATTACTGATCCTGGATGGTGAGTTACAAAGGGGATGGAATTATGGAAACACAGCCCCTTTTTCTTGCTCCAACTTGTTCTGATACCGGTGTTCTTCTCAGCATGATTTTGTCATTACAATCTGAAGAAATAGTCCCCTTTTTTTTTGGGTGCTCAAGAAGCAGACATCTGGCAGGCTGCTTTCTCTTCGTAAGTTGGTAAACAGACCCAGACGTGGCCAGCCGTTTTCTTATTGATCCTATGATGACCGCCTCACTTCTCTTTCCTTTTATAGTCTTTATTGGTTTATGCTTTTGCAGTTGTTCTCCATTCTTAATACCAACTGCAATTGCAAGCCAAAAGAAAAATACAATGCCTCTTTGGCAGATCTTATTCATTGGCACGCAGGGGGCCTCTGCCTGAAGAAAAAGAAGCTCGGAGGTCTGGTGGTCAAGGGAGACAAAAAAAAAAAAAAAAAAAAAAAGGTTCCTGATTCACTGAGCTTTCAATTACATTTTTGTTCCCATTTGAGTGCAATCATGTTATGGATAGACTTTGACAAAATTGCCTTGATGTAATGTTTTATGGCAGATATGCAAATTCCTCATTCACCTGCATGGAGGCAATCAAATCCAGTGGAAGGGCCTGAAGTCCACCCCCCCCTTCCAGACTTACTCAGCAGCTCCCTCTCACTTCTCCCCCTCACCACCACCTGCACTCTCACCCCCATCCCCCTCAAAAAAAAAGGGAGAAGCAAATAAAACTCCTTATGCCACACGAAGGCAACAAAGAAACATATTTTCAGTATGTTGCCAGGATCAATCAGTGTCCACACGGAATCGATCCTAGCCGGATGCCTTACCGCCGCACCTGTGACACGGTGTTCAAAACTGAAGTCATACTGGTTGTGACATTCAGTCCACCCCAGTACAGTTGCAGCTCGGGTACACACACTCAATACTGACACCCATCGAGACCTTCCGCATGCGCAGCCACAGGTAACCCTCCGCTGGTAGGTTACTGCGCTCATATACCTTTCAATATGTTGCCAGGGTCAATCCATACCCACATGGAATCGAGCCGGTGATCTCTGCCATAATCGCTGGATTTCTTTACCACTGCAACTGTGACACGGTGTTCCAAATTGAAGCCACACCAGTCGTGACATTCAGACCACCCGAGCGCTGTTGCAGCGAGGGTACACACACTCAGCACTGGCACCCGTCGAGACCTTCTGCATGGACAGCCACACTTACCGAATGACCTATTCTATGCCGACACCATCATCCAGGTGACCCTCCCGTGCTGGTTACTACACCTTTCAGTATGTTGCCAGGATCAATATGTGCCGACATGGAATCGAGTCGGATGCCTTTACCACTGCAACTGTGACACGGTGTTCCAAATTGAAGCGAGAGCAGTGGTGACATTCATCCCAACCCAGCTGTTACATGCCCAGTTGGGCGATGTACATAATAAACCGAGGATCCGCGATGTTATAAAAAGGACTGAATGGACAATGCAGTGCAAGTGGAATCTCAACAAGCAATGTGCATTCTGATACATACAAAATGGCACCTTGTGGCGCAGCGGAAGACTTAGATACAAGTCCTGACCTGACCGGGACTGACCTCTATCACGTAGTGCAAGACAGCGCAGCAGAATGCTAGGATACCAATGACTAGCCCAATCAACGTTGCAACCCAGACCCAACATACATCATTCTCATCACAAGTGTGAAGGGGCCTGGCGCTATACACAAGAAGAAGGCGCCAGGTCCAGATCATGCACAGACGAAGAGGAGTGGAACGACGAAGAAGAGAGGGAGAGATGGGAATGTCGTCAACACAAAGTCTTTGTTACAAGTCCCAAATAATCCCTCGTCAAAATGTCTGAAGCCCAAATGTCGAGTCTGGATCCAAATGTCACCAAGCCTGCTCTCTCATAGTCTGCTGATGCAATGAAGTCAGGTAGCGAGAGGGTGAGATGGAGATGGTGGACTGAGAAGAGGAAGAAGAAGAACTCTATCTCTCTCATATGCCAGGTACTAACCTGTGAAGTTGGCGCTGTGCTGCAGGTACCTCGAAGGCGAAGCTGGAGCTATGGCGCTGCAGGTAAGTACCCCTGGCCTCCGCCCAATCTCTCTCTCTAGTACTACTCTAGCTCCTAAGAGTGCCCAGCGCTGAAGACTACTGCTAACGCTACTAGCGCCCAGCGCTGAAGATTACTGCTCGTGCCACTACTTCTCCTGCAGTGCTCCTCCAGAGTGCTTCTGCCGAATCCTGAAGACTACCTCCTGCCTCCTGAACTGCACGTGAAGTGCCTGGGAAGTACCTAGGAACTACCTACCGGCCTGCAGGGTGGGCCAGTCCTATATAGTGCTGGCCCGTCCAGGAGGCTGCTCTTGCCAATGCCGAAACGTGCCAGACCCTGGTGTTGAAGCTCAACCAGGGGTTGTCTTGAAAACAGGCCTGAAATGGCCTGTGCTAAAACCCTGGTTTGTTGACTGAGTTCCAGGGCAGGTCGGACTGATGAGGGCCTGAAATGGCCCTCAGTTTCAGGCTGAAAACACTCAGAGCTGGAAAGGCCCTGATTTAGCCTGAAAGGACACAGGGCCTGTAGGCCCTTGTTTTCAGGCTTTCAGGCTGAAACGACACGGGGCCTGTAGGCGCTTGTTTTCAGGCTTTTGGCCTGAAAATGTCACGAGCCTGAAAGGGGGCCTGTGCAGCCTGTTGCAGGCGTAGCATGTAACACCAGCACAGTTGCAGCAAGAGTACATACACTCAGCACTGACACCCAGTAAGACTGTTACATGCCCAGATAGGTGATGTACATAATAACCGAGGATCCGCAATGTGATGAAAAGGACTGAATGGACAATGCAGTGCGAGTAGACTCTCAACAAGCAATGTGCATTCTAATACATACAAAATGGTGCTGAATAGTGCAGGGAAGACTTAGGTACAAATCCTGACCTGACCGGGACTGACCTCATTCACGGAGTATAAGATAGCGAAGCAGAATGCTAGAATGCTAATGACTAGCCCAATCAATGTTTGAACGCAGACCAAACATACATCGTATCCATCACAAGGTGTGAAGGAGCCTGGCGCTGTACACAGGAAGAAAGCGCCAGGTCCAGACATACACAGACGACGAGGAGGGGATCAGACGAAGAGAGGGGGAGAGATGGGAATGTCGTCAACACCAAGTCTTTGTCACAAGTCCCGTCTGAAGCCCAAAAGTCGAGTCTGGACCCAATGTCACCAAGCTCTCTCTCTCACTCTTCTCTCGTAGTCTGCTGATGCAGTGAAGTTAGATAAGGAGAGGGTGAGAGGGAGATGGTGGACTGAGAAGAGGAGGAAGAAGAACTCTCTCTCTGTCACGAGCCAGATACTAACCTGTGAAGTTGGCGCTGTGCTGCAGGTACCTCGAAGAGGAAGCTGGAGCAACGGATCTGCAGGTAGGTACTCCTGGCCTCCGCCCAATCTCTCTCTCTCTAGTGCTATCCTAGCTATGGCGCCCAGCGCTGAAGACTACAGCTACCTACTGCGCCCAGCGCTGAAGACTAATGCTAACACTACTACTACTTCTGCAGTGCTCCCTCCAGAGTGCTGCTGCCGAACCCTGAAGACTACTGACTGCCTCCTGCCTGCCCGTGAAGTGCATGGGAAGTCCCTATGTACTACCTCGGCCTGCCTTCTGACTGCCTACAGGGCGAGCCAGGCCGGGGAGGCTGCTCTTGCCAATGACGAAGTGTGCCAGGGGCTGGCGCTGCAGCATCTGCTGAGGCTGTGGTGGGAACAGGCTAAGAATATCCTGTTCCCGAAACCCTGGTTCGATGCCTGAGTTTCAGGGCCGGTCGTTCTGATGAACGACCGAAAATGGCCCTTCGTTTCAGGCTAAAAAGGCTATTGCCATTTTTAGTCTGAAACGACACAGGGTCTGTAGGCCCCTGTTTTTCAGGCTTTCGGGCTGAACAGACACGGGGCCTGTAGGCCCTGGTTTTCAGGCTTTCAGCCTGAAGGACGCAGGGCCTGGAAAATGGCCCTCGTGTGCAGGCGCAGCATGTAACAGAGACCTTCTGCATGCCCAGCCACGCTTACCGCATGACCTATTCTACGCCGACTCCATGATCCAGGTGACCCTCCCCTTGCTGGTTACTGCGCTGGTATACCTTTCAGTATGTTGTCAGGATCAATCCGTTCCACATGGAATTGAGCCGGTGATCTCGGCCATAATAGCCGGATGCCTTTACCACTGCAACTGGGACACGGTGTTCCAAATTGATGCCAGGTCGGTTGTGACAGCCCACTGCAGCACAGTTGCACGAGGGTACACACACTCAGCACTGACACCGATTGAGAACTATTGTCCAAGCCGACTTGTGGTACATAAGAAAGCAAAACTGTAGAGTGAAAGACACCAGACTCATGAGAGTGATTCTTCTTCTTCTTCTGCCCCAGAGATGGATAGGGAGGTTGTGTGTGTTTTTTTTTTGGGGGGGGGGCAGGGGGGTGGGGATGTGTGTATAATAACACACGCATGTGTATGATATCATTAACATGATACAATCACGTTCACCATCGTTGCAACTACCAGTTGGCAGAACGTACAAACTCATGGAAAGGTGTGAAGCATTCAACATGCAGACACTCATGAGATCTATGAGGATCATAGGGAGGGCAGAGCAGATGACACACGAACACACAAAGAAAGAAAATAACACAAGACAACCAACAACCCATAGGACGACAGGCAGGATCAAAGGACAAAGGCTGGAGGGCATGGGGAAGGTGGGAGAGCAGACGCCACAGAAACATGGATAACAGCCAAACCAAAAAAAAAACAAGTACCAAAAAAATGCAAAGACTGAAAAAATAAAGCTGATGATAGTTTGCTTTGTTGGAGTTGCACCGACTCATCAGGAAGCCAAACCCTCGGCAATCTACAGAACGCCGAGAGGACAAGCAGCATGGGAACCATGCAGTGAAGCATGAGGCAAGACCAAAAAGGCAACCACACTACAAGGCATGCCA